CTTATGTCACTAGACATTCCCGCTCCGACCAAGCCAGCCTCTCGCTGTGCTCCAGTCCTTGCCAAGAAGCAAGTCCCGCCCCCTGTCTTCCTAAGAGACAAGGCTAAATTCACAGAACTCTCCAAAACCTGCTACAACGCAGGCATAAAATATGACCACGCCATCAACCTCGGGGAGGCTATTAAGATCATCCCCCAATCAATCGACGACTTCCGGCGACTCACCAGGCTATTCACAGCCGAACGAGTTTCTTATCATACATACGCTCTTCCGGAAGAGCGCAAAGTCAGGGCCGTCATCCGCGGCGTCCCCTTCGAATTTTCAAACGAAGAAATCCTTGAGGACCTTAAGTCCCAAGGTTTCCCCGTAGAAGCCGTGCACAAAATGCACAGTAGAATAGGCCAGAGGTTCTCTCTTGCCCTAGTAATTTTAACCAACGTGCCGGAGGCGAAAGCCATCTTCCGGCAGGTACGCACAGTGTGCGGCCTGTCGAGAGTGAGGGTTGAGCCTCCACATAGGCGCGGGTTCCCGGCGCAGTGCCACCGCTGCCAGCTGTATGGTCATGCGGCGGCCAACTGCTCCGCCCCACCCAGGTGCGTTAAGTGCCTTGAACCCCACAACACTAAAGAGTGTCCTCGGCCCAAAGACGCCGAATCCCCACCCGCGTGTGTCCTGTGTAAACAAACGGGCCACCCGGCTAACTACAGAGGCTGCCCTTGCGCACCTCATCCTCGCCCCAGTAGGCAAGCTCCACCGCCGGTCAATGACCGCTCATTCCCGGCTCTTTACCAACGGATGCCCCGTCAGGGCCTTTCTCAGCCCACCCAGGGCTTCTCTCGACCCTCTCAGGGTCCTCCTAGGCCCCCTCAGGGCACTATTCGGCCCCCTCCGGGCTTCTCTCAGCCTATGCAGCCTCCAGTTTTTCCCTGGGGCCCCAAAAAGGCAGTACCACCGCGGACATCCTCCGCCCCTCAACCACAACAATCACAGCCCTCAATGGCTGATGACCTAAAAACGGTGTATTCCGCAATTAGGAACATCAACGTTGAGGAAATCGCTGTGTTAGCACGCAAATTGCGCGCTGCGAGGTCCCCTCAGGACCGTCTCCTCGCTCTTGCAGAGCATCATAATCTTTTGTGCTCATTGTAAGTTAAGTTAACTTAATTAACTTAACTCACAATGACAGAGCAGTTTGCTCTACCAAAATCCCACGGTCGTATCAAACCTAAGGGCTTATCGCTTGTATCCTTTAACATTCGCGGTTTGCGAAATAACCTCCCAGAGCTTAAGCTCTTTCTTCAAAATCGTGAAACCGATTTCCTCCTCCTACAGGAAACTAATCTCAATACTAAGGACACTAAAGGCCTTTCCATCAAAAACTTCTCTCTTCTTCGTAATGATAGACCCGACCGCCGAGGCGGCGGTACGGCCATTTATTACAAGAAGACACTTCACTGTTCTCCCATTTCTACTCCGCAACTTTCCAACATGGAAGCCACGGTATGCAGGCTAGCTATGACTGGACATCAGTCCATCTTCATAGCCTCCTGTTACATCCCTTCCCCTCAAAAAAGATTTTGAGGCTATTTTATCTCTAGGCAATTCAGTCATTATGTTTGGAGATTTTAACTCCAAGCATACTGAATGGACATGCCGTACTACCACCCGTAGTGGCAAGTTACTGCTCGATATCACGCAGTCTCTTGATATTACCGTCCACAGTCCTCTCGGTGTTACTCACTTTCCCGATAACACCGACTATGCCCCCGATGTACTAGATTTTGCGTTACTCAAAGGAGTTTCTCTCAACCTTAGGGCAATCGAGACACTAGACGATCTAGGATCCGACCACCGACCGGTCTCTCTCATTCTTGGCCATCAGCCACCACTCCCAACACCCTCTACTAAAACCTTCACAAATTGGAAGGGCTTCAAGGAGTCCCTAGCGAAAGCTCTGGACTCACAGGACTCCCCCATCTCCCTATCTTCGGACTTAGACAGTCCTGAAAAAATCGACACCGCGGTCGATTCACTCTCCACCCTTATTAAAACCTCCCTTAAGGAGAATGAAAGGGTCGTCCCGGTTGCTAATAATAGTGGGCTTCCCCTGCATATTAGCAACCTATTAAAAGCCAAAAAAGCTGCTTTCCGGAGAGCAGCAAAATATCCCACGCCCGAATATAGGCGCACGGCCAATCGTCTTCAACGAGAACTCCGTTTCCGCCTCTCTGAATTTCGAGACCTCGAAAAGAGTAAGCTCATGGAGAATATCTCTCCCTCTCATACAGCGTACTATCAGATGGCAAGAGCCCTCCGCATAGACGCTATCTTCCACACTCCCCCTCTCTCCCGTCCCGACGGTACGGTAGCCTTCGAGGACGAGGAAAAGGCTGAATGCTTTGCAGACAGCATTGCCGCTCAATGCTCTCCTAGCTCTCAACCCGTAGACCCCTCACACGTCCAGGCAGTGGAGGATCCGCCGCCGGAACTCGCCCCCTACAGCCTCCGAACCTATCTCTGTGTCCAATGATGAGCTTTCATCCCTCATCAAAGGACTTAAGCCTAAAAAGGCTCCGGGCGCGGATGGCATCTCCAACCAAGCCCTAAAAAACTTTCCTGAGCAGGTGCTAACCCTTTTATCTATTATCTTCAATGCCTGCTTCAACCTTAGTTACTTTCCCACTACGTGGAAAGAGGCAACTGTGATTGGTATTCCCAAGCCAGGCAAGCCTCTTAATCTCCCCTCCAGTCATCGTCCCATTAGCCTCCTCAAGGCCATGGGCAAGCTCTTTGAAAGAGTCATTCAAAATCGCATGAGGCGCCATCTGTTTCCCACAGACGGTGACCCTCTTATCATTCCCCATCAATTCGGTTTCCGAGCGAAACACTCCTGCCCCCAACAAGTTCACCGTATTGTGGAATATATCCTCAGCGGTTTTTATCCCCGTCGTCATAAGACTATCGCGGTCTTTTTCGACATCGCCAAAGCCTTCGATAGAGTCTGGCATACAGGCCTTATCTACAAACTATACAAAATAGGTCTCCCCGATCGTCTAGTACGTCTCGTGGCCTCTTATCTTAATCATCGTACCTTTCGTTTTAGACACGAAGGCACGCTATCTTCACAGCGCCCCATCAAAGCTGGTGTCCCTCAGGGCTCAGTTCTTGCTCCTCTGCTGTACATACTGTTCACCAACGACATTCCCATTCCGCCGAAAGGTGTTCAGCTCTCCCTCTTCGCAGACGACACTGCTCTCTACTGCAAAGGTATCTCGCTACCTTACATACGGAACAAGGTCCAAAAGTCAGTTGATGACCTAGGAGCTTGGTTCAAAAAATGGCGCATCGATGTGAACCCGGAGAAGAGCTCCGCCGTTCACTTCGATTATAAACGACGCCGTCTCAAAAACACTCCACCAATACGTATGCTAGGGACCCCTGTCCCCTGGCATACGTCTGCCAAATATTTAGGTGTCACTCTAGACACAGGGCTAACTTTCAGGCCCCACGTCAAAAGAGTAACCCGTCACGCACGTTTTTACCTGAATAGGCTCAACAGTATGTTGGGCCGACACAGTAAAATGTCCCTCAGAAACAAGCGTACCCTTTATAAGGTCTGTATACGACCAGTCATGTCCTACGCGGGCCCCATTTTCGCCCACTCTAACCCTAAAATTATTAATGAACTCCAAGTAGTTCAAAACCTTTTCTGTCGTCGAGCTGCGAACGCACCTTGGTACGTCCGCAATGCCGACCTTCATCGGGACCTAGAGCTCCCTACAATTCAACAATTCCTTAAAAAACTCTCTGAGAACTTCTTCAAAGCCTCAGAGTCGCATTCCAATCATTTTATTCGTGAGGCTACTAATTATGCAGCCCCACTCCCCTCCCGCTATAGCGTCCGCAGGCCGAGGAACTCCCTCTCGGACCCGCCTAATAAACTTTCAAACGACCTGAACTGCCTCCTGGCGGCTCAGGCCAACTCTAATTAAGTTATTCATAATTAATTTGCCTTCCCAGGCACTCCCTCAGCGGCTTATAGCCGCCTGCGCCCTCTTTTCCCAAAAGAGGGTCGCTTTACGATACGGCATGTGAAGCTTTCAACAGCTGGTTGCCAGTCCCCAAAGGCAGTTTTTAGAGGGTATCACTTAGGTTCCCCCTTGTAGGTAGTGAGTCCCTCATAACCGCATTTGCATTACGTGCATTACGCATACCACGATGGACCGGCCATCGTGGTATGCGTAATGCATTTTCTGCCTCCCTTCGGGGTAACCCTTTTCCAATTGCTTCGGGCGCAAAAAAAAAAAAAAAAAAAAAAAAAAAAAAAAAAAAAAAAAAAAAAAGCGCGCGCGCGTAATCGGCGAGCGGCGGCGGCGTGGGACACATCTCCGGAACAGCGAGAAGAAGCGAAGCTGCGGCGTTGAAGAAACGGCTCGAAAATGGTCGACGTATGCGTGAAGACAGCCGGCGTGTGAAGACGATGCGGTGCTGATGATATTTGTGGCTGCTTCTTGTTTCTATATTAGAACGTTAAATATATATGCGTCAAACTATCTCGCATCGATATGCAGCCCGCAGTATCTCAGTAGCCGGGGGTAGTTAGGAAATAAATGTTTTCTTCAGACCTTTACCTTTTGCATTATGGTAGCAGATAGGTACATTATTCATTACGGTTTAGGGTTGATAAGCCAGGCTGCTACATCACTCTCCCCCTAGCGAAAGCGTACCGGAGGTGTTGACGACTCGCCCATGTCTCGTAGTTTTATAAATAGGTTTCATCTGGGTTGATGTAGATGATGGGTTTTTCAGCTGCCTCGCTGGTGGTTGAGATGATGATGATGATGATGGTGAGTCCTCTGAAGCATCCTCGTTAATAATATAGGCAGGCTTTAGTCGGTCGATCGATATAATTGTACATTTCATTCCGGGTATTTGTAATTTAAATGTCTTGCTATTTCGCTCTATTACTTTATACGGTCCATACTTTATACAGGTTGAAATTATTTCTTCACTGCGTCGTTTCTTACAAAAACTTGCTTGCATGTTATCAAATCTAGATGAATGAATACTGATTTATTATTTCCGTGTGATGATGTGTGTTTCGACGATAAGACTTTGCTGATTGATTCTCGAAGTTGAGTTACAAAATCGTAATTCATTTCTTGATCATTTGACGATGTTGAAATGAAGAAGTCACATGGTAGTCTTATGCTGCAGCCGTAGGTTAGCTGAGCGGCGCTAAGACTAGTGTCTGCGCGTGTTGCTCGTAGTCCAAATAGCACTATAGGTAGCTCATAAATCCACTTTGCATGTTGAGATAAACGAGTTTTGAGTGCGGTCTTCAATGTACGATGCCATCGATCGACTATTCCGTTTGATTGAGGATGGTATGCCGTTGTACGTATCTTCTTTATTCCCATAGTTTGAAGAACTTTGAGGAATAGGTTGCTTTCGAAGTTTCTTCCTTGATCCGTTGTGATGGTTTGCGGTGATCTGAAACGAGTAATCCAATTTTCATAAATTATCTTCGCGACGGATTCAGCTGAAGTATCATCGGTAGGTATTGCTTCTGGCCATCTTGTTGTTCTGTCGATCATTGTTACGATGTAACGATGTCCTTGCGGTGAAGTAGGTAATGGTCCAACGATGTCAACGTGCAGGTGTTCGAATCTCTCCGTAGGTGGAAATGAAGCTAGGCTGCTTGATGAATGTCTTTGTAATTTGCATTTTTGGCATTGAATGCATTGTTTCGCCCAGTTGCCAACATCCACTTGTATTGAAGGCCAAAAGAATTTTCCAGTGATGAGTTTTCTGGTTGCTCTAACACCTGGGTGACTGATGTTGTGCAATGCATTGAAGACTTCGCGACGACATTCTTCTGGTAGGTATGGTCGCATGGTTGACGTTGAGGCTTCACAGTAGATAGGTAGATGCGTCATTGGCATTGTAACATGCTTGATGGACAAGTTACTTTGCTTCGATAGATGTTTGACATTGTCGCTATCTCTGTCTTGTGCTTCGGCGATCTTGTGATAGTCGATTGATGTAGGGCACGTTACACTGTAGATTGGTGTGTCGTGACTATGTTGTCCTTCCCACTGATGTGACGTATGTCGGTCGTGAATTCACTTATGAAAATGAGTTGTCTTGCTCGTCGTGGTGTTTCCGATGGTGATGGTTTCTTCTGAAGTACATATGTTAATGGCTTGTGGTCGGTAAAAACGATCAGGTTTCGACCCTCGAACGTTTTTCTGAAGTGCTTGATAGTCATGTAGATAGCGAGTAACTCTCGGTCGAATGTACTGTAGTTACGTTGCGTATCGGAGACTTCTTCGAGAAATAGCCAAGTGGTTGCCATTTCCCATTGATATATTGTTAGAGTACAGCTCCCGCTGAGAGATCGGATGCGTCGCTGAAGATAGCAAGGGTTGCTTCGTGTTATGGGTGACCGAGCAAAGCTGCATTTTGGATCGCAACTTTACAAGCTTCAAATGCCTTCGTGGCTTCATCATTCCATCCGATTAACGTTTTATCATTTTTCTTCGTATTGTGTAGGTAAGCGTGAAGTGGTGCTTGGATTTCAGCGGCTTTAGGTATGTGTTCTCTGTAAAAATTATCCATCCCAAGAAATTAGCCTTAGTTCTTTGATTGTTTTAGGTTTCGCATAATCGATGATTGCTCTGACTTTTTTAGTAGGCGGTTTGATTTCTTCCTTACTGACGGTGAAACCAAGAAATTGAACTTCTTGTTGTCCAAATATGCATTTCGAAGGGTGGATTGTGATTCTATCGTCTTCTAATCGCTGCAGAACGGTGCGTAGATGGGTATCGTGCGTTTCTTTATCAGGGCTTGCAACAAGGAGATCTTCAATGAATGCGAAAAAAAAATCCAGTCCATGAAGTACTTCGTGTATGATTCTTTGAAAGGTTTGACCAGCGTTCTTCAGTCCTGGGGTCATTTTTGGAAATTCGAATAATCCCATTGGGGTAATTATTGCTGTCTTCTCTATGTCTTCATCGCGTACTTTTATTTGTTGGTAAGCTTGGTTGAGATCGATGGTGGAGAATATAGTCTTGTCTGACAGTTGATGAGTGAAATCCTTGACTCGCGGTATTGGGTAGCGGTCAGGAGTGGTAATAGAATTCAGTCTTCTGTAAACTCCACAAACTCGTAATTCGTATTCTTAAAGACCAAGGGCTTTTGCTTGAACGGCATATTCCTTACTCGATCATGTTTTCGAATTCCTTTCGAACTTGCTCGTATCGGTGAGGTGCGATTGGACGTGCACGGCAAAGAAGTGGTGGTCCATTGGTTTCCATGAAATGTTCAACGTCGTGCTTCGGTGTTAATTTCACTGAAGTTATTCTTGTGATTCCAGGATATTCTTCAAGAATCTTGTGATACGATTGTTGAAATGGCATTAAATGGCACTAAAACGAAATGTATAAAATGTATGACTCCAAATGTCAAACAATTAAATATTAAAGAGCGTACTCCTTTTTAAAAGGCCGGCAACGCATCTGCGATTCCCCTCGTTTGCCCCCTCTCCTATAAAAAAAAAACTAATGTAATTTTTAATGGGGAGAAACTGAGTCTTGTAGATACTACCATTTTTCTTGGATCACACTAGACGCGAAGCTTCAGTGGAGTCCCCATATATCAAAACTAGCAAGTAGACTTAGTTCTGCAGCATATGCCGTAAAAAGATTAGAAGTCTAACTAGTGTTGAAACAGCTAGACTAGTTTACTTTAGCTACTTCCATAGCATAATGTCGTATGGTATTTTGCTATGGGGACACGCAGCTGACACTGAAATTATATTTGTTTTACAGAAGAGGGCGATAAGATCAATTTATGATTTAAAGCCTAAAGAGTCGCTGCGACAAAAATTTAAGGAAATTAATATATTAACTTTGGCCTCTCAATACATTTATGAAAATGTAATGTACGTACACAAAAATAAAAGTAGTTTTACAAAAATAAGTGATATTCATTCTGTAAATACTAGGAACAGACACAAGCTAGTAGTACCAGTTACTCGACTCCATCGAGTCAGTAATTCATTCTTGGGGCGATGTATACGCTTTTACAACAAAATTCCAGAAAATATACAAAATTTGACCTGCTCAAAGTTCAAAAACTTTATTAAACTAAGTTTGTATAAAAAGGGTTATTATAATATTACTGAATTTATAGATGATAATAACTCCTGGAAATGAGGTGATCGCTACCAAGCTATTTCTAATTTGTTGTGTTGTTAATTTGTGTAACATACATGATTGTAAGCTGTTATTTAAAAAAAAAGTCCCGCTGGGTTTCTTGCTGGTTCTTCCCAGGACAGAGGTTTTTTTTTTCGAACCAGTGGTAATCATACAAAAGAGTGACTTTCAATAAGTATTATTTATAATCTATATTGAATAAAAAAGTTTCTGTTTCTGTTTCTGTTTCAGAACATCTATGCTTCTTATTGTGGGCAGATTGGTTTTCCCGTCGATGATTCTTCTATTTTAAATGTCGACGATTTTGAAGAAATGTCGGTGATGTTGAAGAAAATCAGCACCGATGATTGGTTTGCTGATTTTAGCGACGGTAAATCTCCACTTGAATGGTCGGCGTAGATTTAAATCTAGTTCCATTGTTTTTTCTTCATATGTTAGAATCACCGTATTGTTTGCTGCGTAGAGTTGAAAATCCAGTGACTTCACCCTCTGTCTTTGACGTCTTGATTACACTGATTTTATATACTGAAGTCTTCCTTGATATTTATAAAATAAATAAATAAATAAAATAAAATAATTTATTTTTCTTCACCAAAACGTGCTTTATCCTACTATTGTTGCAGGGATCTTCCTTCTCAGTGTTCGTAACGGGGTCACCAATGTAATAGTCGGGGTCACCACTGTAGTGGGTAGAAGGAAAAGGGGAGATCTCCTGCCAGGCAAGGTTTTCTGCCCGGGGAGCGGCCAACGCTCCGAATGGTAGCTCGGAGCTATTCTATATATACTGTTTTAATTTCGGAACTTTGTTAGCGTGATTTTAGCCTTCGATGTGTTTGCCCCTGCTCAGACCGGAGGTCGATAGTGCAGTCCAGATGTCGAGGAATTTGCAAGTGCCAGGGAATGCCTTGTAGTATTTTTTTTATAGGATCGGGTGACAAACGAGCACACAGTCCACCTGATGGTAAGTGGTTACTGTGACCCATAGACATCTACATCTATCCTCAATAAAGACTCAAGATGCAGATGCGTTGTCACCCGTGAGGACTAAGATGGAATGCCTCTTTGCCAGTAAAAAGGATCTCCGGTTCTCTACACTCACCATACGAAACACAGCAGCATTAAGCTGCTATTTTACGCTGGTTTTCTGTGAGAGCGTGGTCCTTCCCCGTTCGAGCCGACCCATTCGTGCTACAACCATAATATAGCTGAAGCATGGCTCTACCACGTAAAATTTTATTAGTCTGCGGTGATTCGAGAAGAAGGCAAGTAATCTGCGAGAGTGCCGTGAAGCAGAGGCGAGCAGTAAGGCTCAGAGTCGTGCCGAACACTGTAGCGCAGAGAGTAGCTTGAAGGAATAGGCAGCATTATTATTTTAGTGCTGCGATGAACCTTTGTAAAGCTAGATGGCTTGCAGAGTGTGAAGACTGCAGAAAATATCCGCTCGGGAGCGAATGAATGGGGTACTTGAGGATGATGATGAAGGTTTTGGAAGTTGTTTTTTTCGAAGGTTGTTGATTGCGTGTTCATATCACGTCGGGGTCACCAATGTAATAGTGCTGTATGGTGTCCACTATTAACAGACTCCGAGTGGTCTAGGAGCGGAGAAATAAAACTATCTTTCTGATATGCCTTACTATGTGCAGGCGAATGGAGTATGGAGTATGTTTATTTCAGCTAACCCTGCCTATATTTATATGTCCGGCTACGTCATTAGTTTACCAATAGTAAAATATTTTATTTACTTAGCAAATTACAATACATACATTTTGACCAATAAATATTAATAAAAATATTCTGTACAACTATTATGTGTCGCGCTCCATTTGCCGGCGTTAGACTCGTTGATCGCTTCTCGTAGCTGCGTTGCTGGACGGAGCTATAAAAGTGATGCAGACCGGCGCACGCGCGTAATCGGCGAGCGGCGGCGGCGACACATCTCCGGAACAGCAAGAAGAAGCGAAGCTGCGGCGTTGAAGAAACGGCTCGAAAATGGTCGACGGATGCGTGAAGACAGCCGGCGTGTGAAGACGATGCGGTGCTGATGATATTTGTGGCTGCTTCTTGTTTCTATATTAGAACGTTAAATATATATGCGTCAAATTATCTCGCATCGATATGCAGCCCGCAGTATCTCAGTAGCCGGGGGTAGTTAGGAAATAAATGTTTTCTCCAGACCTTCACCTTTTGCGTTATGGTAGCAGCAGGGTACATTATTTATTACGGTTTAGGGTTGATTAGCCTAGCTGCTACATCACTCTCCCCCTAGCGAAAGCGTACCGGAAGCTTGACGACTCGCCCATGTCTCCTAGTTTTTAAAATAGGTTTCATCTGGGTTGATGTAAATGATGGGTTTTCCAGCTGCCTCGCTGGTGGTTGAGATGATGATGATAATGGTGAGTCCTATGAAGCATCCTCGTTAATAATATAGGCAGGCTTTAGGCGGTCCATCGATATAATTGTAGATTTCATTCCGGGTATTTGTAATTTAAAAGTCTTGCTATTTCGCTCTAATACTTTATACGGTCCATCATAGGTAGGTTGAAATTGTTTCTTCACTGCGTCGTTTCTTACAAAAACTTGCTTGCATGTTTTCAAATCTTAATGAATGAATACCGATTTATTATTTCCGTGTGATGATGTGCGTTTCGACGATAAGACTTTGTTGATTGATTCTCGAA